CGTCACTGCTCTGATGGGCGTGGATGCTGCAGCTGCTGTTGTTCTTCTGGTCAATGACGTCAGATCTACAAGAGGTTAAAAGAAAACAGATAAGACTTCATATACTGAACTCAAAATATTGGGATATATCTTGGAGTTGTATTCTGTATTCTAAAGATACAAATATGTGTGGTCTAATTGTTTAGTGACTGTAAAACGAAGCTTTGCTTACCAATGCTCTATTTTGGATCGTAAAAGCTTCATTACCCGAATTGTTTCAATATGGTGTAGCTACATCAGGGCCATCTGGTGTCCAAAACGATGAATATTCTTCAATATTTAATTTTACTCTGTAGTGGCATCTTTATATGGTTTTATTAATTAAACTCCTTTCTTCTTCTTCTTCTTCTTCTTCTTCTTCTTTTTCTTCTTATTATTATTATTATCATGCTTACTTTTTTTTAGCAATACTACAAATGATTTGGATGTAGCCTAATTCTAAATGTAGAAATATGTCATGCCAAATAAAGCACCTTCAACTGAAAACCACCTACTGAACTGATGTAAAACTATGAACCATATAGGTCCTATACTTACATAATAAATCATCTGGCAAATAATTTCAGGCAGATGAATACATATGATCAGGAGCTGTTTTCCAGCTCTAATTAAGCCTACATTAACTGTTCTTAATTTTTGGTGTGTCCTGTGTTAATAAAGTACATTAGGTCTTAAGTTTCTCCAATCCTTATTTCCCTTTTTTTTTTTTTTTTTTTAAATGTACAGAATATGCTTCTTTTAACATTAAATCTTTACATGAGAATATAATTTGCTCAAATAGTAATCATTTACCTGTATCCTGAAGCTCTCAACATCCCAGTCATCATCTTTCTACCGTACACAGAGCCACAAACAGGTCGAACAACTGCATCCACACCATCTCTCCCTAGCCGTGCGTAATCAAAACGATGAATGTTCCTCGATGCGCAGAATTTAGAAATGGAGGAAATACTGGAGCCTCTCCCGAGTCCATATTGCTGCTGTAGAACCTCTTGAACTTGTTTGCATGTGTATCCCAGCTCCTCTAACCTGCTGATTACACTTTCGTAATCATCAAGCACACTCCACTCACACATCTTCCAGAAAATCTGTGGTTGTTAACGTGCAGTCACACAGTTAATGGAGGTCTGATGATAAATTATTGCATGGTCAGACGTGCCAATGCATAGGCATAGGCCCTATACATACAGCGCTCTGGGTAAATAGGGGGAGCGCGGGGCACAAAGTAACGCGGGGTAAATTGTAACACGTGGTTTAAATATTTCCACACATGCTAGCATAACCAAATTTACAGCATTTACTAGTTACCATATCAACATTATATAGAGAAAAAACGTGCACCAAAATTCCAAAAAAATTTTGAAGATATCGCTGAACATTTATTTTACCATAGTAAAATTATATTTCTGGCTTAAGTAAATTTTTCATCTCAGTTTTTATTACTCATTTAAAATGAGACAAATCTGCTATTATTTTAATCTCCAATCTGTTATTTATCAGTTTAGATTATT